TGTGAGGAGCAGCCCAGGGGGGGTGGGACAGGAGAGGTGGGGGGCTCAGCACCTCATTCCCTGGGGGGAAAAACCCCCTTGGGGTTGGCCCCTCTAGGGTCTTGCCCCCGGGTGTGGGTGAGATGGGGCTGCTGGGGTTCTGCTTGTCACTGGGGGATGAGACTGGTTCTCGTTGGCCTTACTGGGAGGGGAGGGGGTGCCCACTGGGTGCAGAAGGGGGGGGGGGTGGGTCAGGATGGGGCCTGGGGTGTTTGATCCTCGTGTTCTGCCTGGTTGGGTTGGGTTGGGTTTGTGCTTTATTTTTTTTTGCCTGTTTTTTTTTGGTTGGGTTTGGGGTTTTTGTTGGTTTTTTTTTTTAAGCTTTATTTTCATCTCGAAATAAAAGGTATTTTGGACAAAAAAAATAAATAAATAAAAAGCCACCTGGTTTCAGTCGGTGTGGGGGATCCACAGGGTGTGGGGGATCCACAGGGGTCTGGGGATCCATAGGGTTTGGGGGATCCACAGGGGCTTGGGGCTCCACAGGGTTTGGGGGATCCACAGGGGTTTGGGGATCTACAGGGGTTTGGAGGATCCACAGGGTTTGGGGGATCCACAGCATTTCAAGGACCCTTAGGCCAGGGTCACCTCCAGCCCAGGTGCCATGAGGTGCCAGGGACCCATGGTCAGACCCAGCTGGGGGCTGTGATGGGCACAGCAGGATGCTGAGGTGGGGGGTGGTGGGACTGGGACACCATCCCACAGCTCCCAGCTCTCCCTGGGCCAGCACTGGTCCCTTTCCACCCCCCACCCCCCCAAACCCCCAGCTCTGGGACCAGCTCTGAGGGCAGAGCTCAGGCAGGGGATGGGCACAGCTCCTCCCAGCCCCACTGTCCCCTGTCCCTGTGCCCTGCTGGGGTCTGCAGGGCACGTAGGGCCCCACACCCACCTCCTCGATGAGAAGGAAGCAGATTTGGGGATGTTTCTGGGGATCCACAGGGTTTGGGGGATCCACAGGGGTTTGGGGATCTACAGGGGTTTGGAGGATCCACAGGGTTTGGGGGATCCACAGCATTTCAAGGACCCTTAGGCCAGGGTCACCTCCAGCCCAGGTGCCATGAGGTGCCAGGGACCCATGGTCAGACCCAGCTGGGGGCTGTGATGGGCACAGCAGGATGCTGAGGTGGGGGGTGGTGGGACTGGGACACCATCCCACAGCTCCCAGCTCTCCCTGGGCCAGCACTGGTCCCTTTCCACCCCCCACCCCCCCAAACCCCCAGCTCTGGGACCAGCTCTGAGGGCAGAGCTCAGGCAGGGGATGGGCACAGCTCCTCCCAGCCCCACTGTCCCCTGTCCCTGTGCCCTGCTGGGGTCTGCAGGGCACGTAGGGCCCCACACCCACCTCCTCGATGAGAAGGAAGCAGATTTGGGGATGTTTGAAGCAGAAAACACCCCCCTTTCCTCCCCCCAGGCCACGGGTGCAGCTGCCCCGACACACGACTCGAGTGTATTTAATACATTAAAAAAAAGGGACAAGGTTTGAAGGGTATAAAAAAAACCACAGTCGGTAGGAAAAGGGGCACAGACGAGTGTCTAGACAGAGAGGGAACAGTCTGGGTCAGGTGAGGAGAGGCTCCACCTTCATCTTCTTCACTGCTGTGGGCCCCGTGTCTGGGCTGGGACACTCCAGCTTCAGGCTGTCCCTGCGATCGGCCAGCGTGGTCCCAAGGTCAGGGCACAGCCCACCCCTGCCATTGAGTGGGGAGAGGGGCTCCTCCTTCTCCTCCTTCAGCCCAGGAACTCCAGGGTCAAATCTGAAGAGCTGTTCAGGTTTGGTGAGCTCAGAACTTTCCACCACCACCGGCCCCGTCCACTCTGGGACCTCCAGGCTCAAAAGCTTCATCAGCTTTGTCATGACGTCGTCGACGTAGGCGTGGATGAGCAGGTCAGCCTGTCTGTCCTGGGGGGAGCCAGGGCAAGCAGGGCTCAGGGGACACACACGGTGTGTGGGGACAAATGTTCCCTCCCAGGGGGGTGTGTGGGGACAGGGTGGTGGCTCCAGAGCTCCTGTCCCTGGTGGGGCAGGAACTGACCCCGCGCCGTGGTGGGCAGGGCTGTGGGCAGGGTGTGGGTCACAGCAGGTAGACAGGGACATGGATGTGGGGCCAGAGCAGTGAGCCCAGGGACAAGGGAGCTCTCATGACATCCCAGAAACCCTCCCAGCTCTGGTTATTCCAAAGCTTTGGACAATGAGGACACCAACACCAGTGCTGAACACAGACCAAACTCCTCTGCCCTGTGTGGGTCACTCTGTGCAGTTATTTACTCAGACTGGAACTCCCTGGAGGACACATCAGGGCTTTGGGCTCAGTTTTTAGTCCACTCTTGAAGATTTACCTTCCATTTCAAGGTGTTTATCAGGAGTTGCAGGTTTAAAGCCTCCAAGAAGCCCAGCCTATCCATCTGGCTGCTTGGGAGGGGACAATGTGTGGGGACTGTCCCCTCCCTGGAGGTGTTCAAGGCCAGGTTGGATGGGGCTTGGAGCAGCCTGGGCTGGTGGGAGGTGTCCCTGCCCATGCAGGGGGTTGGATCTAGATGATCTTGAAGGTCCCTCCCAGTCCAAACCCTTCTATGACTCTATGACTAATGTGTGACAGGGCCAAGTGCCCCAGGGGGCAGGGAGGACACTCTCACTCACGTGTTTGGTTGCTTGCAGGTTGACTATGACCAGCTTCCCTCCCCTCTTCTTGGTGATCAGTGGGAGGTTGCCACTGGGTTTGATCTGCAGAGAGGTCCCCAGAGTGATGGAGAGATCAGCTTTCCTGGGGGGAAGGGACAAAAACATCCAGAGGAAAAGCTGGGGTTGGTTTGCAGGCTGCTTCTCCCACCCTGCTCCAGCGTGGACCCTCCATCCTCCCCAGCAGGGCCCAAAACTCTCTTGGCCACTTTCTGAGAGGGCTGGAGGGTGTTGTGCCCTGGGTGCAGCCTCAGGGCTGGGAGGTACAACCCAGGATGAACAAAGCCTGGCAGAGTGAGCCCCTGTTGTGCTGGGGGCAGGGGATGGGCAGCCTGGGCAGCCCCCAGGGCAGTGTCAGGGGCTGGGGGCAGGGGATGGGCAGCCTGGGCAGCCCCCAGGGCAGTGCCAGGGGCTGGGGGCCGGGGGGGGGGCACCTCGGGAGGGCCCCGGGGAGGG